AAGTGTAAAGTAGGTAAAATGTTCAAAAAAATGAATACATTTTTATTATTTGGCTCACTTTTTGATTATTAAAATTCTTCCACTAACATTTATTGTTATTTGGCTCACAGTTCTTACATTTTGCTAACTTTTACTAAATGTTAAATTTAAGTGTTATAAAAAATATGTGCAAATATCAAATTCTAAATGTAAATGTAAAAGTTAAATGTTGAAGTTTACATTTCAGTATTTTGGAATGGAACGCAGCCTTTGCTGATGGAAATCTGCTCTTTTTATGACATCATCATCCTGAGACAATTACAACTGCTAACAACCTTGTATGCTAACTGTTGCTAATGTTGCAAGCAATGCTGCAAATATTAAAATCTAAATTCAAAATGTGTTGTTGAAAACAATATGGATGGCAGCTCGGACACCGGTCTCAGGATGATGACGTCAGAGCACCGACAGCAAAGGCCGTGTTACATTCGAAAATATTTCAACACAAACTTCAACGTTTAAGATTTAACTTTTACATTTAGATTTAGGATTTAAATATTTAATTTTATTTTTGAACTTTAAATTTAACATTTAGTAAAAATGAGCTAAATAATGAAAAATATGTTAGCTGATTTTTAAAATATTTCATTTTACACCTGGTGCCACACAGGTAACAGTTTTCTCTGAGCATTTAAAATGAGACACAAAACAATAAAAGCCAGTGAAAATAGATTTATTTAGTTGTTTTGTTCAACCTTTGTGTGAACGGTTACTAATCATTAAATGGTAAAAACTGATTTTCTTCTGTTTGTCTGCAGAGACTGGATCCAGGCTCTGTCTGCTGAAGCCACCTCCAGCTTCTTGCAGGCAGCAGAGCTGGGAGCAGAGCTGGGAGAGCAGTGGGTGGTAACAAACGCAGCCGTTTACCTGTGGAACTACAACCACCACCTGCTGGCTGAGGGGCAGTACCAGCTCTTACTGCCCACCTTCCAGAGCCTGCTGGCACTGCTCAAGAAGATTAAAAACACCAGGTATCAGTTTAGAAATAAAGGCTTCAGGAAGTGGTCCAGGGATTCAGACCATCTCTAACACGACTTGGTTTAGTCTTTTGTTTTTACTTCCTGTCCAGGATGATGTCACTTTGTTGTGTTGTTGTGTCCCAGCTGTCCTGCAGTGTGGGTTCTGCTGTGTGACGCTGTGGCCCGAGGCCTGATCCAGCCTCTGTCTGAAAGAGACGCCGCTCAGGCCGGACCCGAAGATCCGAGGGCCCAGAACAGAGCTGAGAGGGCCGCTTCTGTTCCCGGGTCACGTTTATTCCCCGCTGCCTCACAAGACGCCCACAAGGCCTTAGAGGTGAGACACCGAGACGTCTTTCTATTTAACTCTGCTCAGTTTACACTCATGAACCCACAAAGRCTTTATAAATCCACATTCCTGTTCTCCAAACCTCAGTTTAGAGCAGGACTGAGAGGCTTTCACATGTTTTCAGATRGAAAATGTCAATAAATGATTGTTTTGTGATGAATGTGTCCTGTGGGATCAATCCTGTACCAGCAGGAAGTGAATCTGAATGTTCAGAATTTGAAATTAAATTCATTGGTTTGAAAATAAATTTCACTAAATTGAAACTGAATTTAATGATTTGAATTAATTGTCTTTGAAACTGTATTTTGGTTTATTAAAAATTCAGTTTGACTACTTTCACTTTCAGTTCCATAATTCAGATTTTTGTGTCACATCCTGGTCCTTGAGAAAGCCAGGCAGAGTAATCAAACACAGATCACATATTGATCAGTCAGCAGCAGCATCTGATCCATGATGTGATC